AAGTCTTGACCGTGAACAGCAACGACAATTTTATTGGCTCATAATAGGATTTTTACAAGATTAATATTGTCATATTGATATTGATGCGTAGTATTTATTCATACGTATTGTGAACAAATTTATTCAGCGACGTTGGTTACAATGCAAAATTGCACAAAAATGCTCAGATATTCTACTTTTGTTGTACAGATTACATATTTTTGCATCAGACCAAATAAAAGAAGGGAGAGACAAAAAAAAAAGTTTTTGCTTTCTGTAGCAACCTTTGAGCAACTTTCGTTACTAAAAGCAACTTTTGAGCAAATTTTTGCGAAATTTCGGGCAACTCTTTGGGAAATCTCGAGCAACTTGTGGCAAGCCCTATAATTAGCCATATACCTACTCTCGATATTGAACTGGAACTATCGCTTGCAGTGGAGGCTCATGCGGAGGAATATAATTAAAAAGAGATGACGGTCATTTGCATTTGAAAAGATCCCCTGCATTAGCTTCCATTGCAAGCTAGCTACTGTCCAATGCTGAGTATACGAATATAGCCTAATGGTAAAATGTTTTGCTTCCTGGGTAAAATATTTAAAAGTGCTGATGAGCCCATAAATTGTAAAATTTTGGTATTTTAAACCCGCGTCGCACAAAAAGTATATTCAATACTTCGAGCTCAAATTCGTTGGAAGAGTGAATCGTTCCATTTGCTTCCAATATTCAGAGAAAGTATTTTTCTAGCTTAATCAGAAAGTGAATCGCTTATGCTAACGATTCAAATATTGTTAACAAACGTTGGTCATTATTTAATCAACACCTGCTCCTTTAATTTCTAAATCCCCAACGCAGACAAAACTGGCCTCGGCGAACAAAGACCTTTTTCCCATTTATGACGTTATCACCATTGACAAGTGATAAACTTAAAACGCGTTCGGAAACACTTATAAAAATAAAAAAAAGCTTGAAATTCAGTCATGCGTACGTCCAAAAAACGACTGTTGACTTAATTCTTGATAAAATTCCATTTTATTGCCAGGGGCCGCGATCCTTTTGAGTAGAACCAAGAAATGGAGACGAATTGAATTATGATAAGCATGTTAAGATACCTTTTGCAAAGATTAAAAAAATACTAACCCCTTGAATGGATGCCAGCCCATTGCAAAGTTACCTCCGCCATTAAATTTCCCGGTACCCATTAATACACGTGGATGGAGAGAGGCACTGAGAGTGTCAGGTCCAAGACCAAAGCGACGCCTACCAGGGCTCAAACCCGGACCGCTCGATAAAGAGTCCAACACGCTAGGCATTATGCAAATGCGCACGAGTCATACCCACGAGTCATGGCCATATCCTTGTATATTTTTTTATTACCTCTTTCGTGTATCTCTTCCGTAGGAAACTAGCATTTACATTTTTTGTTGAGAACTACCAAACATTTTTAGCAATTTAAGGTGGCTCCGATTTGCGCTG